CCAAAGATTTTTCTCAAAAAAAAATTAGTATGCTTCACTAACCAAAGTTAGCCAAAATAAGAATGATGAAAATAATGATAAAAATTATTTGGATTTTAGACGAAAAAGCAACAATAGTCCGTTGGACCGTGATAATTCATCAAATTTCTCGTTCAGCAAAAACTTATTTCTTCCCTCCCTTTCCCCACCCCCTCCTCCAACTTTTCTTGTTGTAGATTAGGGTACTTTCTTTGCTGTTATTGAAAAGAATTTCATTTTTAGGGCGCATCAATATTCGTCTCAACATTCTCCCTATCGGCAATAGCGATTGACAGGTACTTGGCAAACACCCAAATTTTTGCACTTTTAAGAAAATTATTTTAGATACAACCTCGTCGTTCGACCGCATAAACATCCTCTAAACTCTCGCGGTGCTTCTGTTGTCGCTTTGTTACTTTGGATCATATCAGCCCTGGTTTGTATGCCTTATGGTTGGTATATGGACGTAGTGCAAATAAACGGACTCTGTGGCGAGGTTAGTAGCAATTTTTCCCAGAAATGTCATTTTCACAGCAGTTATCCATCACTGCCTCGGGAAACATCGTCGTTTTGACAATGGAAAATTCATGGAAGTTCAAAACAGCTCTGTGAAAGCGCTAGTTTTTCCGGCATTATTTCTCAGCTAGAATGATGCATTAATGAGTTCTCGACTTTGTGAAATTTCAGTTCTGCACGGAACGTTGGCCACTGCCAGAAGTTCGCAAGGGCTATGGTTTAATGGTTTTGGTGATGCAGTTTATACTTCCGTTCGCAACTATGGCCGTGTGCTATTATACCATATTCGCACGGTTGAGAGAAAGGTGAATAATTGTGTAATTGCACAAAAAGGGCATAAAAAATCTGCTTTACACAAAGTGTAGGGAGGTGCACCATTTGAGGAATGGATTAAAAACCTATAAGAGCTTGAGTAGCGGAGTTCGCGCGTTTTGTGCAATCACACGCCAATTACTAATTATTGATTTTGTTCGCGCATCGCCTACCGCGCCGCAACTGCTGCGCACGCAACATAGCTTTTTTTACTACGCTCAGGAGCTCCGCTTTGATATGTCTGAACAAAAAAAAACCTTTCCTTTTTAGAGCCGAATCCAAACTGAAGAAATTGACTGAAAGAACGCAACTTCTTGAAAGTGCTACAGGAAGTTCATCACCTTTAAGTAAACCAGTAAGTTACTACTGGATCGCTTAGAATGAATGAAAAAAATTGAGAAAAAAATTATCTTCTTTTAGGAAAATGGAGGCAATTCATGCAGCTATGAGGAGAAGCAGCGTCTGAACGTCCTAGCTTCACAACGTAGGACAACAACTATTTTGGCGTCCATGGTATGTTTGGTAGATTTTGAATCTTGGGTTTGGGGCAAGAAAAACCGAATGCAAAAATCATTAACTAAACAAAATCAGCTCTTCTTTTTCTTATTTTGGTAGAGACAATCAAAGTCACTGGAAACAACAACTACTGGGCATTTGTGTTGCCTCACAAGGAGCAAAGACACTACTACTTTTGAGGAGACGCAGAAGTCCGCAAAAACACTAATTCCGCGCGTCAAGAAATGTCTCACACTTTTTTATTATTTACTCCCACTTGCACACCAACCACGAGGCCTTTGCGTACGAACCTCCAGTGGATGACGCAACTTGTAAGGTTGAGTTGCACGCGCGCGAACGTGGCGCGAGACTTTGCGCGGCGATTGCACAGATGGAAAAGGGAGTACGCAC